CGAAAACCAGATCCAAAAACGAAAGCATACTTGCATTAGGCGTACAACATTATCATATTATTACTTCATGAAGCGCTGCTGTTTCGGTAGTGCCTGTGAAGGGGAAGGATTCACTGCGCCCTCGATATTCTTGGCTTCAAACCAGTCCGACAGCTCATCATCCCCATCGAATCCATCCGATGAATAAGTGCCACATGAAGAGAGCTCACTTTCCGAGCAATTGCCATCCCAGTCCATCCCTGAATTATTGAAATAAACGCCCCGAGCATGATTGCCAGAGCACAAAATTTAACCCAGCAATTAACTAAATGCGCTGTCTCCAAAAGCTGACGAAACCGTGCGAGACAGATCAGCTGCATACACCCAAAAGTCACGCACTTAACTGTGCATCAAACAGGACTGCACTGTATTGTGCATAAGTTTGTTTGAGATGAAGATGGCAAAAGCTGTACTAACTCTAGGATAGTCCGAAATACCTAAAGCTACGAAAATAGTGAAAAATAGAAATCATAGACTGGAAAATCAAGCAGCTGGAACAAAAGTTAAAAGTGGGCCCGTCCCAAGCAGAAACAGTGATCCGTTGAAACACCGTGTTAACATCCCGAGTGATTATCATTAAGGAAAAACTGACAGGCTATCTTCAATCTAGAGTACCTCAGGACTGAATCACAAACATTCAACGAATGCGAAGAGATCTGCAGACACTGGATGTAAAGTCAGCAGAAAAAATGATGAGGAGAAATGCAAAATCTGTTGCGGTATAGAGGACGTCCAGTCCGATATACATGGTAGATGGACATAACTTCAACAGCAGATAATGAAATAGCCCTGAGCGGGAAAACTGTCAGAAAACAGAACTGAACAGGAGACAAGAAATTCTCGGTATTGAAATTGCAGGTTATAAACGAGCTACAACAAAAAAACTGGAAAACTGCATAACGCTGTGCTTCACATGCGCATAAAAAAGTTGCCTCGTTATTTCGGCCTAAAATGCGTTCTTTTGTGAAAAAAAAAAAAAAACGATTACTAAAGCATCAGCATGTCCGCAAGCAAGTTGTCAAAGCAGCGCGTGCACTCATGAAGGGCGGACTTATCTACAAAAAACACCAAGCATACAAACCATCCGCGGATAACATTATTGATGCCATCGCATGCACTACCTGCGACCTGAGACTACACACTCCCTTCTCGTACCTAGTGCTTTTGTTCTCCTTTCCAGCCCCTCACCCGCTCCTCTCTTCGAAAGAAAAGCCTTTAAATTTTACATTTCAACCCTGAGATAGTTGATGCCTGAATCCAAAACGCAATCGATCTTGCAACGGCATAATATTATATAAAAATTGGCCAACGCACGGGCTGCCCGTGCGAAGATGCGTTTTTTGCATGGTTCCCCGCAGCTTTTTTTGCAACCGGCACCGGTTTTTTCGGCAAACGCTTCTAGCTAAACAAATTAAGACTGATCGCCAGAACTGTCAGAAAACACCCCCTTAAAATTCCAGCTTTCTAAATTCCCTGGCACCTGAGTTAGCAACTTACTAGAACAAAATTTTCACGGGCCCGTGCAGGTTTACCAAGCATACGTGACAGCTGGGTTTGAGGTGAACGAAACTTAGGTGGACGGGGTATATCCTCTTAAAATAACATTCTTTTAGCCTCTCAGGTACTTGAGTTATCAATTTACATGAAAAAATTTTGGCGGGCCCGTATGTGGGTACCACGCTTACCCGGGGGCTGGGTTTGAGCCCACTAATACCCGCTTGGGTGAGGAACATTACCCCAAGATTTCAGC